ATTTCAACTGCCAGTGAAGGCGGCGTTAGCATATAATTACTATGCTCTGAGGGTAACGTACGTTTACACGACTACGAAATACTGAGACGTTTTTCCTTTGAGTTTTCCGCGTACCGCGACATCATTGTCAAAACGATCCCCAATCACACGGATCCGCGAAAACTACTAAAAACACTGTATGCTGCCAGGCCATTAGATGGTGATGATGCACAGTATAGCGTGCATGAACACGTAATACGCATGTGCATGATGTCATCATCTTCAGATATTCGCGTTATTGTTGTTTACACGGAGACCGTTTTCAAAAACTTGCACATTGAAACCTGTTTTCAGGCTCTCAAAACGCCGTTGTCGTGCCGAACGGCCAAAACGCATAAAAAGTTTTACGTTTTTAGTTGAAAACGGTGTCATGTGGTGTAAACAGCCTGGTTATCCATTTTCTTGTATATGTTTCTGTTGATATGAAAAAGTCGGCTATATAGCAGGTGAATTATGTATGCAGACATATCAGTCAGTCTTATCAGTCTCCGACACGCGTTCACGAGAGCATGCATGCATGCATCCTCTGCTTGTAAACACAGCCCTGCGTTTCCGGGTAATGTGTCAGAATGCCAGCTCCTGCGTCACACCACACACGTATGCGTCGTGGTGCTCTCGTGAACGTGTGTCGGAGGCTGAAACGGAAGAGAAGAAATTGTTGAATAAAGTCGTTATTTTGTTTTTTTTGGGGCACAAAAAGTATTCTCGTTGACTAAATATAAAGCATTTTAAAGTTAATAAGATTTTATTTTATTTTTTTGTTTTGTTTTTCTAACCTGTAACGGTTAAGTCCAGTCCTCAGGCCCCCCTCCCAGAATGTTTAAGATGTCTCACTAATTAAAACATCTTTGTTACTTTCCACGTGTGTTTGTATTTGTTCCTTTTTTTTTACTTTGGTTTCTGTTTGTTTCTACAAATTATTCTTAGGTTGCGATCATTGGACTAAACGGCTGTCAATCATGACCGACGTTCGACCAATCCACTTTTTAGATGACCTTTTAAACTGCCGGAAAGTCAGGTTCCATCCAAGAAGTGAGCAGATCAGCTCCAGATCTCATTCAACACCCGTGCCTTTGAGCTGAAATGTCAATTGAGTCATGATCACATTATGTTTAAAAATAATTGATACATTTACATTCCAGGCCACGAAGGCTCTGAGAATCAGCGGCAAAGCAATTTTCCTGTTGCATGAGTCAATACATGTCAACACCCTGTTCAGAACTGAGAGACACGAGCCCAGCACAGGATAAACACACGACACCCAGCCTGAGTCCTGGACGCACTGGGCTGTAACAGGACACACGGATGATCGTGCTGTGTTAGACAGCCCAGTGTTAGCTCTTCCTGTTGAATGAATCATTGATAAAGCAGCTGTAACCCATCCTCATTGAGGGGGAGTGGAGGTATTGGGGGCCATGCAATAATTAGAAGATGTCCTCTCAACTAATTCACAGATTCATAGCTCAGATTCCCTCCATTCAGGATGATTATTGTATACACAAATAATGGTAGCCATGGCAGTGTGGGATTTCTTGATTTATGTCACCAGAGAGAAGTCTGTAGTTTTCATATGTTTTCATACGAAAGTCCAGTTATGACATCTTGATTAAATGATTTCATGTGACACTGAAGACTGGAGTAGCTTTGCCATCACAGGAATAAAATACACTGAACAAAATTATAAACGCAACACTTTTGTTTTTGCAATAATCAACCATGTATATTAACTCACCGGCCGTGGCTGCAGCCTGCAATAGTGTCCAGATTGTCTCGCGAGTCGCCACTAACAGAGGGACGGTGACCCAGCACACCGTCCATCAAGTCGAACCATGGAATTTGGAAAGTTCCTTCTCTGAGCTCCGCTTTGTCAATTGTGCGTTTGAATCGCCTTGAACAATACTGCGCCCGCAACTTTTTTTTCCCCTGAACTTGAAGCGTTGCTCGCTGAATGCTTAGCTTAGAAAGTTCAGCATCGATGTATTTTATAACGTCTTCGTTTCTTCACACGCCGTCAAATTGACGTTGTACCCTTTCTTCTGCCCAAATGCTCAGAAGAGCTTTGGTATCTTCGACAGACCAGTACAGGCGATTCACCATTTCGAGCAGCGATTATTTTGCGCGATATAAAAAAGTGAAATGTGCATCTTGCTTCAGATCATAACGTTCCAGAACACCGATAAACTTCGCCTTTTACCTTGACCACGCCTCTAGCCTGAGCTGCCCCGCTTTGGCCCAAGGTATTCGATGGGCCAGAAATCCTGGCCGTTGGCCCCGAGTAAGCCCCGATCAAGCCCCGGAAGTGACAGTGGAAACGTGACTGGCTCTGGCACGCACTAGCACGGCTCGGCCCTGGCCCGGCAGTGGAAACGCGGCTAATGTTGCTCACCCAACATTGCTCACCCACACGACCCCATACACGCTGTCTGCCATCTGCCCTGTACAGTGAAAACCGGGATTCATCCGTTAAGAGAACACCTCTCCAAAGTGCAAGACGCCATCGAATGTGAGCATTTGCCCATTCAAGTCGGTTACGACGACGGACTGCAGTCAGGTCGAGACCCCGATGAGGATGAAGAGCATTCAGATGAGCTTCCCTGAGACGGTTTCTGACAGTTTGTGCAGGAATTGTTTGGTTATGCAAACCGATTGTTGCAGCAGCTGTCCGTGTGGCTGGTCTCAGACGATCTTGGAGGTGAAGATGCTGGATGTAGAGGTCCTGGGCTGGTGTGGTTACACGTGGTCTGCGGATGTAAGGCTGGTTGGATGTACTGCCAAATTCTCTGAAACGCCTTTGGAGACGTTTATAATTTTGTTCAGTGTACATAAAATATATTCAAATAGAAAACATTTATTTTAAATTGTAATAATATCTCAGAATATTCCTGTTTTACTGTCTTTTTAATCAAATAAATTCAGACTTTGACTTCTTTCAGAAACATGGAAATAAATTCTACCCCAAACTTAATTTAATAAGTTATATTTTATCATTTATTAAAACTGATATTTTGATGTTTTGTCAGTTAACCAATAATTTGATGAGTGACAAAAATGAGTGTAAATGTAATTGTTTAACTGTAAAATCTGTTAAAGAAAATCTGTAAAAACGCTCGCGATTTAGTTCCCGTACTAGGTACAGGAAAAAATTTCCCGTACAGGGAAAACTGTAAAAGATCTATAACCAGACATTTAATAAAATACTGTTAAATGTACAGTTTTTAATATGAATAATACGAATAATAATTCACAGTGAAAAACTGTAAACTGACATTCCTAGAATTCCCTGTGGGAAATTTCGTATTTAAAAAAAAAAACATTTAGAAATGTGTAGAAACATGGTTAAAACTTTATAGAAGTTTATCACTCCATCTGGACACTTCATTTCAAATACAAGTAATGCTATCCTCTAGACAGGACGAAGCATCAGCTTTCAGCAGAGGTGCTACTCGCTTTGCACTCAACATTTACATTCACACTTCAAGCTGTGTTTCCTGTCCAGATGTGCCACACCTCTGCGGCAAGAACTCGAGCCCATTTCATTTGTGAAATATTAACTGTGCTGTTTCCTAGTCTTAAAAAACAAATAAAAGTATATTTTCACTGCACATAGAAAATAGACCCATCCCCATCTCCTCTGGACATGAATTGCTTTCTCATTACACCAAACACCTTGGGTTAGATAGTCAGTTGAGACAAAAGTAAAAGCAGTACTGAAACACTCAAGAATCAAACATTGAAGTATCAGCCTTTAGTTCAAATCTAAGCGTATATCATCACATCTGAAACATCAGACTACAGACATGGAGATTATCTGCAATCTCAGACATCAGCCCTGAATGCAAAGTTGAGGATGATTGCCCTCACTAAGCTTTACAGTTGCAAATGAAAACACAGTGAGACAACAGGTCTTCGCAGGCCTGCTGTGTGGCGAAACTGGGTTCGCACAAAAAAAAAAAAAAAAAGATGGCAATACTTCAGCTGACTTGCTGAAGAAGAGGAAGAAGACTGTCATTTCAGTTCTTTTGCGCCTGTGATTAATAGTATTTTTAATTAATATTAAAAATATTAATGTTAGGTGTAAAGTGCGGTTTATTGACAGTGTTTGAGAGGGGAAACAGTCCCAGGAAAAAAGACCAAATCTATATACAAAAGTAACAAAGAAAAGAAAAATGGCAAACAAAAATTGCACAAAAAGAACAAAGAAAAGATATATCTAGATAAGAGATAAGTATCTATATACACACGCAAACTTCGTCAGAGGTAAAGAATTGCTCACGGCACCACAATTGCACACTCGCTCGCCATACATTAGTTTGGATGAAAACTAAATTATGAAAATTGTAAATGAAAACAAATCACATTGGACTTTAAGCATGCTTGGCATTCAATGACACAAAGATAAATGATATAATGTCTCTCAGAGGATCTTCTGTCCCAGCTCCTGATCAATTCGACCCTGTTGAACTATGTTACTGCTAGTTCATGTATTCTGAATGGTTTCTAGACAGAGACTGCAACTCACCAGGGGGTATGGCTGCCCAGAAAGCATGACGTGAGAATATTTTGTGTTCAGATATCTCTGATTTCTAATTTACAGTTAAATTACTGTATGCATTGAATTATTTTACCCAAGATATTTTTAGAAAAAAATATAATGTGATCTCAATCATATGCCTATATGATTGAGATCACATTATATATTTTTCTAAAAATATCTTGGGTAAAATAATTATTATTTATAATTTTAAATAAAACAAATTATGTTAGTTAAACGTTTTTTTCAGGTAACTAATATATATATATATATATATAGTTAGTTTGCTGTACCAGATGTGTTGAATAACTGTGCTTTCGATTGAGCACTTACAGAAGTGATTCCGACGACCTGTGAATGACGACCTGTGAAGGGCTCATCTATGAATAATGCACAACAGTGCCGTTCGAGATCTCTCGCGCATGCGTAGAGTTCTCCACTGTTCTGCACACAGGTGCGCGCATTCACCTGTCAACGGTGCACAGACTGCACACATGTGCGCGGGCGCTTCATGCGAATGACACATTCAAACACACGGTGAGTTTAGAACGTTTTTTTATTTAAACTCATAGCCTATATAAAGATGTTTACAGATTATCTTACTCGAGTTAATTGGTCAGTTTGATTTTTCTTTGATTTGGCGCATTTTTGGCACGATATTAGGCTATAAAACGATGCCTTGCAAATTAATGTTCTGTGACGATGTTTAATTTGAATTTACACGTATCAACGTAGCAGCGACTTACAATTAGGCTTTCAGCACTTAAGTAAATTAACAGATACACAAATTAATAAAATATATAAAATTTAAGAGCTTAAAATATTAATTCTTCTAAGCATATAGGATATTAATGGTTTTCCAATGCATGTAGTAACATGATAACTTTAATTAATAACATTAACAAATATTATGTAAAAATGAACAGAATGCACATTCATTGTTAAATGAAATGACTTTGCTATCTATATTTTTCCATAGGCTATACTGTATGTGACCGGGGCTAGTTTTCACATTTTTACTGCAGTGAACATAAATAAACAATTTAATTAATTAATACACTTTAATTTGCTCTATTTTACATTTTCACTTCAACTATTTAATGCAGTATGATGTTAAGGCCAGATGTCACCATACAGAAATTCCAAAGCAGATTCTGTTCTATTTTCCAGGGAAAAGGTGGCTAATTGATTAACACATGATGGAGCTAATTGGATCCACCCAGATGGCCACTTATGCTCGGCCCAAAACCAGCCACTTCCTGCCGGCTATATCCACCACAGCATCCAGTTATAGGAGCCATCAGCCAGCCCTTACCATCAACCAGAATTCAAACATGCCCTGGAGGACTAACTCTTACTTTAGAAGTGGCAGCGCAATCCCGACCGTATCAGCACTTCAAAGAGACAACCTGGACTTAGTCCGGGCCAAAACCATGTTCTACCCCTCTAACAGGACGGCTCTCAGTTCACGATACATGCCAGAGGACTGGTACAAGTCTAACCAGAGTAACTACAGGGAGTCAGAGTCGTCCCGGAACAGTGCCGAAAGGCTTCGGAGAGACACGATGCGACTGATTCAGGATAAGGACCAGCTGACTCGCAGGACTCAGGACTCCACCAGCAAGAACATTGGAGAAAGGCTGAACGACATCAGCTTCTGGAGGTCTGAGCTCAATCATGAGATAGACAACATGGTGACAGAGATATCAGTACTGACGGATGTGAAAAGAAGGCTGGAAAGAGCACTAGCTGAGACAGAAGGGCCACTGCAGGTAATATATATTTATATATACATATAGTTTACTACATTCATTTAGTGTGATTAATCTGCAACAGCATGAAAGACAATAGTAAATTGAGTTATTTAACTTTAACTGACATTAATTAACCTAATTAATAAACAAACATCACATTTACACATTTCGCCTCTCGGAAAATAGCTAAAGGCCATTTCTTGTTTTCACTATTGTAACAAATCTTTCATCAGTGCTTGGAAAGCGGCACGGCACAGCTCTAGTGGTCTGTAGTCAGTTACACACCTAATTTGGGTCATGGTGATAGCTGAAGACCCAGTAACTAGAAAAGCCCACAGTCGAGTTTCAGGTGACCCATTGTTAGAAACCACTTGGTAACAGAACCTATATGGGTGTAAGATATACACACTCAATCACACTGAGCACTAGATCTACAATGACCTCAATGTGTTCCACCTCTGACTTTACAGAGTTACCCGTCTGAGTCACAGTAAGAGACTGTTTCCATAGAGACCACACCAAAACATGGTGACTACTAGTGTTGTGCTGGATGAGTTCCAAACTAGTGTGGAGTCACTGCCGGCAACTCGCAGGACTGACCACGAGAATGATCACAAGATGTTTCCATAGTGACGTGATTGCTTACTAGAGCTTCCGTTGTCACATTTTGAGTGAGGTTTATTACGTAATATCCTGTCATTATTAAAACTACATTTGTTATTTGGCGCTGTTATATCTAGTTCTGAACACTGTCCAAAAAAAAAAATATTGATAACAAATAATATCTAAATGAATTACTTTCTTTCCTCTCCAGGTGTCTCAGGAATGTTTGTTCCACAGGGAGAAACGGATGTCCATTGATCTGGTTCATGATGATGTAGAGAAAGATTTGATTAAGGTGAGGTCACCTGAGCCTTTATATAAACCAAAAAACAAGCTCAAATATCGGTAATGAATTTCGAGGAGCTTTCTTAAGCAATGTGTTTTCCATTCGATTACATCAAATGTAATACATGGCTCTCTGGAATATGTGATTCTGATTGGTCAATGGACTCTTTTCACAGACTGTGATGATGCGTTTCCACAGTTAGCAAAGTTTATTATATTTTCAATTAACTATTTCCTTGCCAGCTTTTTTTCTTTTCTTCCTAGCTTCATGCATTCTTTTTTTTTTATCAACACTTAGTTAAGTTTCCTAAAGAAGCAATCTTTTGTACAAAAAGTTGAGAAAATCATGTTTTTCTCAAAGTTTTTGCCTGAATTAGAGCCAGAACGATGATCAAAAACAGAGTAAGAAAAACAAGACAAATTTGACATCTTTTTCTTTTGCTAAATGGGAACAAATATTTGTTGTAATTTCTTATTCACCATTATAGAAGTTTACTATGTTAACTATAGCCAAGTTTCCATCCACTTGTCAATCGAATTATCTGAAGCTCGGTAAAAAGAACTCATGCGAATAAAGCTGGTGAAAGTGTGTTTCCATCCAACGGCTTTAAAGCGAATAAAAACCTGCGCATAATGACGTCACATGCTGTTTTGTGATCAAATTGGTATATCGAATTTATTTGAGACATTTTAAGGTGTTTCCATTCATTTTCGCACTGAATCGCACAACATTCAAGCAAACATTTGCGAACAAAGTTTTGCTAGACAAAATGGATCGCGCCATCTACCAACAAATGATCAATATTGCCCAAGTTGTAGCCTAATAGTGCTTATGTGCCAGCTGATAGCGACATATGTAAGGGATAATGTATAGCGAGGCGGTTGTTAGCCTGAAGGGGTTGTATTCGCATTACACAACCGCATTATCCCGCTTATTACATGGCTACCTACCAAATAAATGAATAATTTATATGGCAACGCTCTGTTACAGCAGCGGTCTGTTATCAAGAAATAACAGACCGCATTCTATATTAGAATTCAACCAAGCCATGTAATAACCATAATAACAAGCTATAATAAGAAAACAACAACGCCATCAACATTCAAATTGCTATGATGATACAGATGCACGTAAATGCCCGACGACATCGGAGGCGGCCTGTGGTGTGGGAACGACGGCGCTCCAAACAGTTCTGGGAGATCGTGGTTCAGAGACACTTCACGGAAACCCTTTGGTTGAAGCATTTTTTTGCTTTGTCCACTTGCATCTGTCTTTGTTGACACTCGCCATGTGTGCGCAAACAGAGGAGAAATATTGGGCGAAAATGAACTAAAACTTCTATGTTTTGTGGCGTGTTGCAACCATGAAATGACCTAAAACGTAATCGCAATTCATTATTTATTCAGCAAATAACGTTTCCATCAGCGTTTATCGCATAAGCCGTATATCGATCAAGATAAAATCCAATGAGACCGAACGCATTTCATTTGAGTCGATATTCATGACATTCAATCGAATTTTACTGTTTCCATAAGGCATTTTTCATTCGATATCACTTAATTCGGATTAAAACGTGTGGATGGAAACATAGCTTATGATGACTTCCGCTTCTGAGAACCCCCAAAATGTGAAAAAAGGGTCCATTCTGAGCATTATGAGGTCAAACATTTTATATGACCACAAACTTGTCCTGGCAACTGATTTTCAAGTAAGCTGTGTTTGTTTCATGTCTCAATTATAGATCAATCCATTAACCTGTGTAGCCATGGTCAGATCTGCCATTTTCTTAAACTGCTGTTTGTGCATTCTTTTAATTCAGAGACTATGACAAAAGTAGGTGTCCTGGAACTGCTGATTAGATTACCGAGTCACTCACAAAGCCTCTCTGTTGTAATTTGCCACACTAAGCGGATGGTGACTGGACTTGATTGAATTACTGATAGTGATGCGCTCATGAGGTTACTCTCTTGAGTAAGTGGACAGACGGGCCACTATCCACATGTGACTTCCCCCTGGGGTTTTTCGCTTACACACACAGAAGAGAATTGTGAGATTAGACAACTGGCCATTGTAGCAGTTGTTTAAACTCATCAAATTCGAAGCACACACGCTCACACGGGACTGGTCGCGAGTTCACCCCCGTCACCATCGGTCAATGAACACTGAACATACATACATACGCATGAACACACACACATACATACTGGACTCGATCACAAATTCACCGCGTGACCAACGCTGGTTGAACTTCTGAACACCCATTTACACACACGGAACACTCTGAACACATGGGATCAAAAATCCCCTTTTTGTAAATGTATAATGTTTTGTGGTTGTGTTTTCATGATTCCCTTGTTACCAAATCTGCATAACTGTAAGTTTATAATATGTAATCAGACTTGATATGTGTTTAATCACGAAAATCATGTATCGTAATCTTACTAACGTATAACTCTATCGTGCGCGATATCGTTGTAATCAGAATAACCAAAGAAGATTGAATCATCAACCCAAAATGTAATATGATGCATGCCTTTATTAATACTAGTTTAGAAGTGTATTTCGAACAAGTTTTATCCACTATGCACATGATCCGGTAGGCGTGTACCACAAGGTTCGCCGACCCGCCTCCGCCCAAACGATTGGACCAGACACGTGAGAAAGGCGTGTCCCGCGCCCCTTCAAAATAGACCGCCACCTTCTCCTCTTCGCAGTCTTTTAGCCAGAGAGAGAAATCCCAAATTTCCTGCAAACTCCAGCCGGAGTTCTGCCTATTCTTCATCGTCGTTTTTCCTACTTTGTTTTAATCTAAGTTTTCTTTTATTTGATCTACCTCCGTTTGATAGTTGACTTCGGTCAGTGTATTCACGAACGAAACAAGCCTAAGATTTATCGTTTCTCGTACGGGCGCAGCTGAAGCAATCGCAAACATCTGCCTCCTACCGGAAGACGCTCCAGACACGCCAGCTACCGACCAGCCTCTGTAACACAGCCGCACGCAAAAGGGGACCGTTTTAAATCAAGTAACGTACGAATCTCAATTAAGTGCTGCTTAAGGTTGTTTAGATTAATGTTAGAATCCTTTGGGTCTCTGTTGCACTGTTTTGAACTGTTCTGTCTCTCTCACTCTCTCTCTCTCTCTCTCTCTCTCTCTCTCTCATTCTAACTGTCTCTTTTTAAATACGTCATATTGCAATCCTGTGTTAATTGTTTGTTTTGATATGCATATTATTTACTCCTGCGTGATTTTTAGTAGTCTATATAACCCTTAGTATTGTGTTATTAAATTCCATAATCCTTTGAATCGAATCTGTCTCATTGTCCCATGCTTGAAGTCTCTGTAATATGTCAAAGGTCTGTAAAGTTGCCAAAGCTCTACCTCGGTTAACTATTTTAAACATCTGAAAGTGCCGTATACGAGCAAATACTTCCGTGTGGCCACCGGAAAATATTCACTCGGTATACAGGCAGGTAATCTTGTGATATAAGGAAGTTTTCGTCTCCGGTCCGCAGGACGAACCGGGATGCATGACAAACTAATTTGGAATCACATGTAAATTGACCCTGATAATTAATCTGACTTAACCAACCCAGATATTAATAATTACTACGATTAATCGTGTTAATTATTCATATATGGTAAGGTTTAGTCCATTCCCTATTTGGGATAATTTAATTTATGTATGCGATAGTGCATATTCATTAGCTTATGAATAATATTCCCCATTTGAGCTAATAATTTCCCCAAACAAACTCATTGTTGCTACACCTGTATAGAAATAAAGTAGTTGTAATTTCTATTTGCTAAATCAAATTTTGCCTTTTTTTCAGGAAGTGGAGGTGATTAAGTCATGTCAGGAGAGAATGAGGCGACATTTAGAGCGAGCTATTGCTCAACTAGCGTGAGTCTCTAAATAACCATACCATTTTGTTTTCAATTTTAAATGACACTTATAGTTTGAAAAATGATCATGGCGTCTTTGAAACACAATGCATGTGGTTATACTAATATCCTCAGGTCGAATCGTGCAGCACAGCACGAGCTGGAGAGAGATTTGAGTGACAAGGTAACAGCTCAGAGAATCGATGACAGGTGTCACCATCTCAGGAACACCTCTGATGGAATCAGCTACTATAGAGGAATCGATCGCCTGGACCCATCGTGAGCTTTTTTTTATTCGAAAAACAACAATGAAGTCATATCATTCACAACAATGAATGATATGAGTCTGTTTTTAGGATTTTTCTTAATAATAAATCAATGTTATAATTTACTTTCTTCATGGTCTCAACAGTATCAGTCTTCCAGACTCCTGGTCGAAGTTCACCGACGACAACATCCTGCATTCTCAGAGCCAACGCGCCGCATCTCACAAACTCCGTGATGAGATTGAGATTCTGCTCAATGCCACTTCAAATGAGATGTGGAACCAGTTTAACACCGTAAACGTGTCATTCACCAACCGTATCTCTGAGACGGCAGACACCAAGAACAGTCTGCAAACTCACCTGGCCAAGGTAACCACAGGATGCTGAACGTTGCGTCATTACCTTTAACCGCTCATTTTGGTCCTAGTTCAAGTCAAATCAAGTGAAAACTGGCTTATAAGTCAGGGCCCGTATTCCTAAAGAATCTTAATGCAAAGAGTAGCTCCTAGTGACAGAATTCTAAGAAAATTCTTAGAAATGTGGGCGTTTACTCCTAAAATTAAAGAAAAAATCCTAGTAAAGAAAAAAGTAATTCAGAGAGTATCTTAACCCTTAAAAGAGGTCTTAAGGTCAAAATTGTTAGGAGCACGGACGAGGACTTTTAAAAGGCTTAAGAGTTTCTTTAACAGAGGAGAAAATGACAGAAAGACGAAGAGAGAGAAGAAATGTGTTGCAGACAATGGATGACAGTGAGTTGTTAAGACGCTATAGATGAGATCGTGCAGGGATCATGTTTGTGACTGATCTTATTAGAGATGCACTAACATCACCGACACAGCGCAGGAATGTCATAACGCCAGAAATGAAAGTAATCACTACATTACGATATTTGGCAACTGGGAAAATGCAACAATGCAGCAGTGATGATTTGGGTCTGTCACAACCTTCTGTAAGCAGTGATCACACAAACAATTACAGCACTTTCAGAACCTCTTATTGTGTCGCAGTTCGTTTCGTTTCCACTGGACATTCCCACCTTGCAGGCTCAAAAAACTGCATTTGTCAATATAGCAGGCTTCCCTGGTGTTGTTGGAGTAATAGATGGAACCCACATCCGAATTATCGCACCGTCGGAAGAAGAGAACGTTTATGTTAATAGAAAGAGGTACCACAGCATAAACGTTCAAGTTGTTTTCAGAAGCAGATTATAAGATTTTAGACATTGTTGCAAAATGGCCCGGCGCAACACATGATGCCAGGATACTGGCGGAGAGTGGCCTGAGACATCTGTTTGAAGGACGTCGTATTCCAGCAAATTGCCACTTGTTAGGGGACAGTGGTTATCCTTGTAAACCATGGCTCCTCAGACCTTACCTCCGTCCTGAGCAGGGGTCACAGCTAAATTACAACAGGTAACAGTGACAACATACAATTAATGTGTGTGGACTTCAAATTTAAACAACAACAAATGTGTTGCAGTAGCTTAGTATTTGTTGGCTACACTACTTCCCATAAATAACCTACCATTATATTTTGAAAATATCAACTGAATTCTGTTCATTTTCATTAACTCACAGAGCTCACAAGAAAACACGAGCCGTAGTTGAGCGGGGTATTGGTCAACTAAAGAGGCGCTTTCACATTTTACATGGAGAGGTGCGACTGGCACCAGGAAAGGTCTGCAAAGTGATAACAGCCTGTGCAGTGCTTCATAACATTTGTAAAGCTAGACAAATTGCAGACCCTCCCACGGACAACTGGGCTGATGAAGATGATGAAGAATACCCTCCACAAGGGAGAGATCTGTCCCAAAGTGGGAATCCTTACAGAGCGCAGTTTACTAATTTGCATTTCATGTTTCATGTTTCTGGTTTCAGAGTGATCAAAGATGTTGAACACGGTTTGGGCTACTTGGGACAGCTGTTTAGCAGGTGGTCCCCCCCCTAGAAAACAATACAATGGACCACATGTACAGTATACATATAATTGTTTGAGATAAGTTTGCCAGCGGTTTAAAAAAAAAGTGTTATATCATCACCTGTGCGTGATGACTCCCGCTTGTGTGCTGCAATTTCCTCTCTGGCTTTTGATTGCAACACGTACCAACGTTTCTCGCAGTCTTCACTGGTGCGCACAAGCAGGGGGAATGAACCGTTAATAGTTTGTGCTATACGTTCCCACGTCTGCTTCTTGCCCCGTGCTGTGACACCCGGCCCGAATTTTCCTTTAAGGATGGCCTTGTGTTCTTCCACTAACTGGGCTAACAGTAAACACTGTTCCTCTGTCCAGTTGGGCTTTCTCGTCCTTCTTGGTTTTGATTCCATGTTTGTTACATTAAAACCAACATTCAAATAGAATGTCACCACTTAAATAGACATGCCAGCAATCAGTGTAATTGGAAAGAGTGGAACAATTTTTATCATTCTAAGCCAATCAAATAACTTAGGAAATTAACAGCATGGTAAATAATAATAAAAAAAGGATTTATCTACACATAGTGTGTGTGAGAGAGAGAATGGTCAAATAGTCAAGTCAAGTCAAGTCACCTTTATTTATATAGCGCTTTTTACAATACAGATTGTATCAAAGCGCTTCACAGTGATAACATGAAAACAATATAACAAAGTTTGTTTCTAAAAGAAATTGCGTCAACGTCCACCTTAAGTAAGGCAGATCAATAATAGGAAAAAATACGCATTTAATTTCAAAGTGAAGGCTTAGAATAGACCCTATACTTAAAATAACTATTTTTTTCCCTTCTTGGACAACCAACCAATCAGAGTCTTCAAAAGATTGTGTCACACATAGCAACGGGGTCAGCCCCGCCTCCTCACTAAGATGAAATTGTTTGTCTTTTCCTTACTCAGAGTTGCTCTCAGGTCGGTCCCGAATCACTCTTAAGCTAAGACTCCTACGTAAAAGTTTTTAAGCTAAATTAAGAGTTTTCTAAAAGGATTCTTAGATTCTTTAGGAATACGGGCCCAGGTCTTTAGCAGTTAGATTTTATTTGACCTTATCTCAAAAGCAATGCATTATAGTAAATATAAGTAGGAATTACTGGAAACTGGAATAACAGTAGTATTCTTCTCATGTTGTTTAGTAATAATAGAACTACTACTTGATAGTACTACTTCCTCCTTCCTTACTTCACTTTGACTGGATAGGACCCAAAGTAAATGACCTTTTCCTTGCTTGCTTGTGTATGCTGTAAAGATGTAGACGGGAAGCTCTGGAGTCTATTGTAGATGAGGTTAATGAAGGACATGAAGAAGCTGTCCATAATGTTTAAGCCCTTGAGGGCTGTAATCAGAGGCATGAGGTAACCAATAAACAACCATCATTCATGATGGTGATTGGTCAAAATTAGATTTCTTCAAAATGTCGTAGTGAGGGAGTGTGTCTGTAAGAGATGTCTCTGTAACTAGACACTTGATCCTGAATATTTTTTATGAGCATTATGTATGTGGATAACAGGGGCCTACTGTAACGAGGAGAACTATAAAGTCCTTTCAGATACATCACATCAATCAGTTTAATGACATTTTGAAGTTAATTTAACATTGGTTATAACTTTCTAATCTGGCATGCTTAAATGTTAATTTGCTTACAATAATACAATATAGCTTGGCAAACCAAATAATTAGTAAGCAAGATAATTTGTAGAATTACATTTTCTGTAAAGAACAAATTAAATAAAATTTGTGGCATTTTGAATTCTTTTAAGTAATTTACAAATTAAATTTGAAAAATAAATAAAAAGCCAAATTTGTCCTGCTTACCATGAGGTTAAATTTCTGCTCTGTCCGCTTTGTCCTGGGATGGCTGTGTGGGAAATTTGCCCAGAAGAGAGCAATACTAACCTAATATCAGATTAAAGTCCTTTAGACTGTCAATTATGATATACAGTAGAAATAAGTGTACCTGACTGGACCGTTTTAACTTTGAGAAGGGTCGAGAAGTCAGACACAGAGAATAAGTGACTTTGTCACTTATTCAATCAACTCTCGTTCTCTCTCTTGCTTTCTTGTTTCCACATTCAGACTCTTCAGGAAATCTTCCAGACTGAGATGCTGATTGAAGCTTTAAAAAAGGCAATCCGAGACAAAGAGAACCCACTTAAAGTGGCCCAAACCCGCCTGGAAGAGAGGACTCGCAGACCCAACGTCGAACTCTGCAGAGACAACCCTCACCATAGGTAACCTATTAAGTCAATAAAAACAAGCAAACAATATATTTGTTTTATGCATCATGAAAAGGTCTTGATACATGTACAGACAACTTATGTTTTGTAAAATCAAACGCAAACATCTCTGTTCTCCTTGTCTTTCCCTTGGTCTCAGGTTGATTACAGAAGTGAGGGAGATTGAAGACACCATTCATAAGCTGAGACAGAGATTGATGGAGGCCGAGAACACCCTGCAGACCCTGGTGAAGACGAAAGTTTCTCTGGAGCATGACCTGTCAATCAAGGCCAACTCTCTGTTCCTGGATCAGGAAAAATGCATGAGCATGAGGAAGAGCTTTCCCAGCACTCCTCGTCTAGTCGGATACACCTAGATCCTCCAGAACCTTCTCTAGAAGCTGCTTAAATTTTGATGTTTAAAACATAAACTGCAAGATTAGTGTCAGAACAGGTTGGCAGTTTATACTTAGTCCTCTTAATTAAGTGGATTGATATCTTATATCTCACTATTATTGCTTCACTTACCATTAGGTTAAACACACCATAATGATTAGGGGCTTTCGTACCGGAGGAACCTTTTCATAGTGCCTATAGAACTATTGGCGGAAGTACCCGGTTTTTGGTATGTTCGAACCGCAGAAACTAGGAACGATTTTAGTTCTAGGAACTCCTTTTGGAAGAACTAATTTAGCTCCTACTTCAGAGTAGAGTCTAATGGTGCATTCAAGTCATCTCGTAAAGATCGTCTACGAGTTGAACGCACATGAACGCCACCACAATGTCGTAAATGCGAAAGACCAGCACACGCCATTTTTTAAAAAGCCGTATAAAAACACACAGATTTTATTTACTCCACAACATGGAAACAGGGAGAGATGGGCCTCTTAACCTTTATGCTAAGGAGAAAATCCAACGCAACTTTGAGCGGACCAAAAGAAGCATATTTCTGCTCATCTAACAACATTGGACATCAACCACACGGCAAACGCTAATACCTTTTCATATACTGTCTAGTGTCTACTTTTTTAGTTTACGATCTGTCTAACACGTTATTAGATAAAACCAGTGGCGTAGCCAGAAATTGTATTTTGGGTGGGCCAGTGAAAATGTGACTGGGCCTATAGTTTTTCCTAGAAAAAAATGACTTCAATAATAATTAACATTAAAGGTGCTCTACGTAACTTTTAGCGGCCTCTAGTGGTGATGTTTCAGATTGCAACCAAATTTTACAAGAGCGCTCGTGCTCAAATTCATAGACAACACCGTCTATTACGCAAATATCTCGGCGAATACTAGACGGATTTGGCGAGCACCGAGCTCGTTGGGACCATCTAGTCGAGCTGAAAAGAACCATATAAGTTCCATAGTTTTTGGTGGTGTTTTCGCGGAGATATTAGCAGAAAACCATTGGGCGCGCTGCAAAATTGCGGATGCCGGTGACGTCACGATCTCAAAAGAAAAACGCTCGTATCTCTGGAACGCAAAGACCCAGAGAGCTCAAATTCAGGGGAGGAGGTCCCAGGGGAACCCTTGCCCGAACGCTAGAGTGGCGGGCCTCGGGGATGCCCCCTACCGGATCGCCGTTCGCTGGGACCCCCGATTTCGAACGGCTATAACTCGGGGAGCCGGGCGAGTTGGACCTCGGGGGTGGGCTCGTTCGAAAGGCCCCGTCCAGCACTACGAACGATTAGAGTCTTGGGAATATTGATCAAAGATTGACTGAGAGAACCGGACGTAACTCCCTGACCGTCTACAATAGACTGTATATAAAGCCTAGTTCACACTACATGATTTTAAAACGTCGGGCTGAACTGTCCGGTTCACACTACATGACTTGCTCTCTGTGAAATCAGGAGTGTTCAAGTTGTTGAGCAGTTCACACCACACGACACAACGTGATTGATCCGCAACAGGAGGTAACGCACTACACGAGTTGACAACAACTCTGTCACCCAACGATTCAATCTTGTCTACAAACCACGTTTTGTCACAAAAAATTACGCGATAAAACGAACCGGAAATGACGCGAAACATCACGCGCGCTAATACCCAGCGAAGAAGACGAAGACCCATGCCTTGCTCTGATTGGAGCAACCCATGCCTTGCTCTGATTGGCTGTAGCTCATGACATCACTGAGGTTGAGTCGGGCGACAGCTCTGGATATCTAGCATGCTACATATTTTTCTGGGCTCGGCGACGCGTCTGCGAGGTGTCAGCGAGCGTCTTTGATGCGTTGTTGGCTCTTTCATACTAACAGATTGGCGAGCGTCCATCGTCCGCTAATCCCCCGCGATTTGCACGCAATAACACCCTGACCTGTCGGCGAGCTCAACGATTTGAAAATCGGGTTTAAATCGGGCTTATAATCCTGTAGTGTGAACTAGGCTTTAGGAGAGAGGCCCGGGAGCGCGCATGCACGTCACATCCGTTGGATTTCGCGGTAAATCCGACCCGGAGACTTCACATAGAAATAGGAATACTGGCCTTCAGAGGTAATAGCAAAACCCGACAAGTGGCTCATTGTAATGTGTGATTACAACCCCTTCACACACAGGCAATAAAAAAAGGATTCATTTTAGAAGAAAAGTTCCATATAGCACGTAATAGCAAAAAACAGTTACACCTTTATATTCGGCAAATCATCATGTTCAACCAACAGAGCTCAATAAAGGCTGGACAAACCAGTATAGACAATAACCTGTCTATTTTATTCTATTCAGCTGTGCAAATACAGTTCACCCGAAAATAAAGTAAGCTAAAATAATATCACAGTTAGATCGGCGGATAAACCCGCGTCAGGCTGACGGGGAGAGAGGGAGCAAGAGGCAGCCTTCTCCTGGGGTAATGAGTCGGAAGAACTGGGCTGGGTGGACTCGGAAGATGAAGGCAGTGGCGTGTCTTCTTCCTCAACTCTTGCTTTTTTTCAAATAGCACATTATAGAAAGTTGTTTAGCCATTATTGTGGCGCCGACTCCTCTCAGAGTTTTCCTGTCGGAACCCCCAGCAACCATAGCAACCAATAACGTTCCGGAGAGAGGCTTTCTACAACTTGCTTCACCAGTTCCATTTTATTCGGAAAATAAATTAAACGCACACAGCAGTCAACAATTAATCAGGCATATATTAATATATTTTCATAAATACATTTGAATAATAAAAATAAAATAAAAATGTATTTTTATCAAACTTGCCTGGGCGGGCCAGTGAGTAATGTGGGCGGGCCAGTGCCGCCCTGGCCCAATACTGGCTACGCCCCTGGATAAAACTGTTATACAAATGAACACTGCGAATGCGAGAACTGTGTGCTCCGGCTGGCGTTCTCAGCGCCGTCAAAATAAGGCCGTGTGTCCACCAAAGCGTTTTTAGCCAGCTGAAAACGCTAGACGCTCTGCTGAAGACGCCTAGCTGTGGGCGCATGAGAGCGTTCTGGCAGCGCAGCGTTTTTTCCGTTGAGACGTTTCGTTGCTATGATGCAGAATATCCGCAGCACAGTTTACTTGTAACTGATTTCGCAGATAATTTGTTGCATACTAAAAATTCATTTTTCATCCATTTTGTTCGGTTAGCTCTGCTGGTGTGGTATTAGTCCCGCCCCTCCTCCACTGTGATTGGACGCCTGGGTAAAAAGTGACAGTGATGAGCGCTGCGTTTTATCCAAAGTTGGAAAATTTTCAACTCTCGGCAACCAGTAAAAAACGCCGGGCGCTCGACGCTTCAGCGTTAAAAAAGCGCTTAGCGCCTCGTTACGCTCATGGCGTTTAAAAAATGCGGCGCTTCCATTGAAAACAATTGAAAACATATGCCAGGCGCGTGGAAAAATGCTTTGGTGGACACACGGCCTAAAGGTCCGCTGCGCCGTCAAAATAAAAGTCACAACAACAAGCGCGGTTACGTCACTTCAGAGTTCCTACTGGCGGTGCGAACGCAAACAGGAAAATGTTCCTAGGGGAACCATTCGTTCTCGGGGAACATCCCTGGAGGCTAGTTCCTAGAACTAACCGGTGCGAAAGCCCCTATTGTAATGATTAGAAATGTTTGTCTCTTGTAGCCTACTTTGACAGTCAGGATTTAAATAATCCCTGAACTGCTAGAAAAATAGTAAAATTGCCCTTTAGTGAAGTAACTTTATTTGCACTACTCAATATTATATTTACCATTATTAGATTCTGTTGTAACATGGATATAAAGTTTAGAGAAAAACTTGTTCCTAAAAAGAAAAAAATATTGTGTTGTTCTTTAAAAATCATTGGCCATTAAGGGGGGAAATAAAGTGATTTGAGCAGTGAATGATCCTTGTTAGTTTTATTAGAAAACATTTTTTTTAATGCAAAGCTAAGTTCATCATTATCTTCAGAGCTCAGACATCTGTTGAACTGAGGTCTGATTTCTACACCAGTGTGACATGATTCTAACAGTTTGCAGACAGTGGACACGACACCTTGCTTTTGTTTGTTTAGTTCAGAGGTCCAGTTGAGGGCTGTCTTTACTCCACACTTCCCCGAGTTTACCAAAGCACAGAGGTGTAGTTCTCATGTTCTTTTGAAGTACAAACACACACTTCAGAAACAGATGTCACAGGCAAGCAGACTCATTGTTAAATATACACACAGAATCTGGGTTTATTGATTCAGAGGGTGAGCGTGTTTTCTCCTGTATACAACACATTGGTGTTCTGCTCAAAGACACACTTCAAACTCTTTACATATAAGTCAAAGTCTGCTCTGTAGTCTGAATGTTTTACAGTACAAGATGAACTTGACATTAATAGGTTCATCCCTATAACAGTGTGTTATGCGCTTTTTGACAACATCTAAATATAAACACAGAGCAATGGATACATAATGCAAATCAATGTTATTATGTGTTTTACAGTTCAGTTGAGTATCTAAAAATAAACAGAAATTTGCTTAAAGGATTAGTTCACTTTTAATAAAACTTTTGCTGATAATTTACTCACCCCCATGTCATCCAAGATGTCCATGTCTTTCTTTCTTCAGTCGAAAAGAAATGAATGTTTTTGAGGAAAACATTCCAGGATTTTTCTCCATATAATCGACTTCAATGGTAGCCAAACGGTTCAAGGTCTAAATGACCGTTTCAGTGCAGCTTCAAAGGGCTTTAAACGATACCAGATGATGAATAAGGAACTTATCTAGCGAAACGATCGGTCATTTCAAAAATAAATAAAAAAGTTAAAGTTTTATAGGCACAAATGCTCGCCTTGCGAACTCTACTGTTCGAACTCGTTCATCAAAATGAACGAGTCAATGACTCGAAAAAAGATTTGTTCATTTTGATGAACGAGTTCGAACAGGAGAGTTCGCAAGGTGAGCATTTGTGCCTATAAAACTTTAACTTTTTAATTTATTTTTGAAATGACAGATCGTTTCGCTAGATAA